CACACACACACACACACACACACACACACACACACACACACACACACACAACATGCACCCGCCGTACCCTGTGTTTGGCTGCGGGGATGGCAATGTCAAGTCGCTTGAGGGCGAGGGCGGCGCGTGCTTCGGTCTCCGCCCACTCGCGCAGCTCTCCCTTCCCTGTGACGAGCGGCCTCAGCTCATCGCAGAGGGCAAGGGCCTGCTCGTAGTTCTCTCGCATCAGGGCCATGTTCGCCTTGCACAGCGACACCTTCTTGCGCTCATGGTAAGCGTGCTTGGCCAACGCTTCGTCCACATCGTCGAACCACAGGTGATCCAAGAACCGTGCCTTGAAGGACGTCGGTATGTCGCTACCCTCGCCCTTCTTACCCTTGTTGCCACCGCCATTGCTACTGTTGCTGTCTCCATCTGTTGCCCCGCCTTCCGCGACACCACTGCCATCGTCGTCGCTGCTGTCGTCAATCACCTCAAACAACACGTCCTCGTCCTCCATTGCTTCCGTTGTCGCGTGTGTTGTGGTCCTTCCAAATTGCACGTGGCGTTGATGTTTGTGTTGCTGTTTGCCTTCGTGTACTTGCGCTTCGAATGAATGCCCACACATGCAGAGATACACTTACATTACATACAGCTACAACAGCAACAACAACAACAACACACACACACAGCTCAGAGCGCCACTAACACAGAGCCGCGCTTGTGCGCTATTCGCGCCATGCAACATGGACGTCGTCTGTGCGGAAGCGCTGTGTAACCCACGTGTCCTCCAGTGGCGTCACGCCCCCGCTCCGGAACTGCTCCCACCCGGCCTGATGCACACAGGCAAGCACGAGGCACACACACACACACACACACACACACACACACATACATACATACACACACACACACGCACACGCACAGCCAGTGGTGAACGTGAATGGTGCGTGTAGTCGACAGGAGATGGAATGCACACATATGCACACACACACACACACATCAACACACACAATGCGTCTCCTTGCATACCTGTGCAATCATGGCGCCGTTGTCGATGCAGAATCGCATGTCTGTGGCATACAACATTGCACCACGCTCCTTGGCCATCACCCCTGTTCATTGACACACATACACGTGCGCGCGTGTACGCAGTGTGGGTGAGCTCATCCACCTCCACAGCAACAGCGACAACGCGCAGTGTCTTGTAGCACACATCAACACACATGCACATGCGCACACACATACACAAAAGTAGCGCACCCATCATCTCTTGGAGACGCTTGTTGCAGCCAACACCGCCAACAATCAGCACCTCCTGTGATCCACAGTGCGCCATCGCACGCTCTGAACAGATACCGGTACAACGCATGCACACACGCACGCACACACGCACACACACACACACACACACACACACACACACACACACACACACAGAAATTGACGGGAAAGCTAGGGCGTGAGGAAGAGTACGCACACGTATGTGACAGTGCGTGGAGCATGTGAGTTGAATGCATGTGTGGGTGGGTGGGGGGGGGAACATGGCCACCTGTGATTTCGACGAGCATGGCAAAGACGGTTTCCTGGAGAGAATAGCAAAGATCCGCAGCCGTGCACTCGCCCTTGGCAATCTGCACACACAATCACACACACACACACACATGAGCTGTAGTGATCGTGTCGTAGCGAACATGCAAGAACAGCAGCCTTTGCGCGCGCGCGTGTGTGTGGTGTCATTGCATATGCAGGTGGGGCGACGCATAGGGATGAACCTTCTTTCGTGCTGCCTTCTCTATGAACGAAAGAATGCCTGCAAGCAATCAAGACATTGAAAGTCAGCCATGCAGAGTGCCGTCCAACACCGCAACACGACAACGAAGCGTGGACGAAGAGCGAACGAGATGTCGATCACACACACATACACATGCGCGCATACACACGCACACACACACACGCACACGCACACACACTCACACACACACACACGCACACACACACACACACACACACACACACACACACACACACACACACACACACACAAACAGGGTGTACCTGAGAAGGAGACGTCCATGCCCTTGACGACGTACGGCAGCTGGATAAACTTCTTGCCCTCCTTCGCCAACTGCTCAATGTTGTACCCGGGGCTGGGATCGTTTGAAATCTGGTCCCATATCATCATGGCAATGATGGCGCGTGTGGTGAGCAATCGCAGCTGTCACGCGTGCACCGAGCACAAGCAAGTATGTGCTCAGCAGGCATCGAGAAAGAGAGGAGCGCGCACATACATACATTCACACACGAACCGAAGGTGCACACATGCACACGTATATGCACACGTACGTGCAACCATGCACGCACCTTGAGGACACGCGCGAAGCGGTCAAGGCAGTTGCCAACTGCCATATCGATGGTCTCACCAAAGACACGATAGCACTGGCGGGAGTACGCAATGACCTGCGTGTTGCCACCGCTCACGTACAGCACTGTCGGGTTCTGTGCACCAGTGATTAACCTGCGCCATTGTTGTTGCGATGAGTGCAAACCCAAGGATGTGAACGGCGAGGCAATGGGTGCCTGGAAGGCAAGTGGGTGGTCACACACACACAGCAACCGAAGGTGACCGCACACACGTACACACACATACACACTTACACACATACACACATACACGCATGCACACATACACACATACACACACACGCGCGCGCGCGCAGGGCAGCCAGCACGGTTCATGAAAAGAGGGGGGGGGGAGTGCTCCGTTTCCTGCCACAACTCACCTGCCCATCTCAATATGGCCAACGCAGTGGTTGACGCCGACGAGGGGCTTGTTCCACAGCTGTGCCACGGTCCGAGCCACCACCGCCATTACCGTCAAGGGCGCAGCCATTCCTGTAAAGTGAAGGGGCCGAGAAAGATCAGGGTAATGACAAGGACCAGGGTCAAACAGAGCTAGCCTTGTGTTTCAGCCCAAAGAACCAACACGCGTGGAAACATGTGCATGGTGGCGGGGGTGACCCACCTGGCCCTTTTGTGAAGCAGATGCAATCCACATCTTGTGGTGTAATCTACACAGCATGACAGCATGACAAGCACGCAAAGGGCAACATGGATGAGTGAGACAGTGTGTGTGTGTGTGTGTGTGTGTATGTGTGTGTGTGTGTGTGTGTGTGTGTGTGTGTGTGTGTGTGTGTGTGTGTGTGTGTGTGTGTGTGGACTTGAGTTGCAGAGAAATTAACCTTTGCTTCCTCCAAAGCCCGTCGCAGAATGTCGAGGACTTTTGCTCTGTACGCATGCAAACACGTTGTTGTTGTTGTGAACGAAATCTTGAGACGGACCGCATGAATTGCACGAAGCCATGCCAGTGCATGCAAATGCACCCGCATGCATGTGCACACACCCGCACACACACACACACACACACACACACACACACACACACACACACACACACACACACACACACATACATAGAAACGCACACTTACACCACACCCCCCCCCCCAACTCCCAAACACACACACACACACACATAAGCACATGTGTACCTGTGGTGCCGAGCAGTCTCGCTTGGCTGGAACCCTTCGCCTGGGGGTGTGATGTATGTGTCCCTCACATTCGACAGCACCTCACCATCCCGCACAATCCCAACACCCACCTTGTTTGCGCTGCCCTCAAACCCAACAGCGACCACCATCGCTTCTGCTTGGTGTAGTACCGAAAATTCACCTAAATCATCAGCTAATCCTCGGAATTCCTTGCTGGCTTGCACGTCATGTTTTGCCGCACAAGCACAAGAGGAAAAGGAGGACGCCAGCAAGCAAGCAAGCAAGCAAGCAAGCCACTCACTCAGCCAACACAACACAACACGCCACCCACTTTGGCTCTTGCTGCCTTGCCTTGCTTGCTGGCTTGTTGCTTCGTACCCTCCTGCTCCTCCTCTTCCTCGTCCTCGCTCCAGCAGCTTGCTTGGTTCGTGTGGCCGGTCATTTGTCGCAACAAGCCATACTCATCTCCTGCGACATCACATCACCAACCAGGTAGCGCATGTGCGTGCGTGTGTGCTCTGCTCTTCTTGTTGTTGCGTTCGTTCCACTCGGACAGCATTTTGGCGGGCAAGCAAGCAAAAGGGGTTCACTCTTGTTGCCCACAACAACAGCACCAGCCACAACAACAACACATCAACAAGACCATCGTGGGTGTGTGATCGTGCACATAACCCGACACGCAGCACCATCACGAACAACATCATTTTGCCCGCCCTCACCGTTTGTTTTGGCTCCATCCCCCACCACCCCTTTCGTTCTACATCTTCCCCCCCCCCCCCACACACGCACGCAGCCTCTGCTTGTCCACCTCCCCACTTTGATGAACAGGCTACTCGAGCAATCATCGCAAAGCAAACAAACCACAGTCAGCGTATTCGTTCGCCTGCCATGACGAGCGTCGACGATACACAGCGGCCCTTGGCCCTGCATCGCGTCGACGTGCAGCCGGTCCAGGTGGCAGAGGCACCACCAGGCCTTCGCCACCACCACCATCACCAGCACCACGATGATGATCATGATCATGATGGTGAGGATGAGGATGATGATGGCGACTACGGTGTTTACAGTCCCGACCGTGCACATGATCAAGCGTTGCGTGACGCTGGTGGATCAGCGGACACATTTGACAGCGCCTCTGTCTTCTCATTCTCAGACGAGTCTGTCCAGCTTCCAAATCAGATTGACCGCTCCCTGTCTCCCTTTACATCCATCACGCCGCCGCTCCCTCGCATGCAAGCCTCTGCATTCCACAACCACCACCATCACACCACCCAACAGCAGCACCAACAACAGGCATATCAACACCACAGAACTCGACACAGCAGCTTGAGAGAAAGCAGTTCGCAGCAAGAGGCGCAGCAGCATCAATCTCGGCATCGTCGCTCCATGGGCCGCTCGTACTCTCACACCTCCTTCCAACCCATCAGCTACGACGTCGGAAGCGCGCAGCACCCACACCACCATCACCAGCAGCAGCCGCAGCAACAACACCACCACCACCACGCACTGCCAGCGACATATTCTGTGAGCCACGCTTCTTGGGCAGTGGCAGCTTCGCAGCCGGCTCGCGCCGCAACCGCTGTAAGTCCCACAGCACCATCGCGGCCACAGTGGAGCGCATCAATCACAGCTGCGGCGGCGCGTCAACCCAGGGGGCGCACACCATCGGCACGCGGCCGCCCAACGACGGCAGCACATCAGCAGCAGCAGCACCAGCACCACCACCATCACCAGCATGGTGGTGCTTTGTGGATGACTGCGCCTGCGCACAGATATGGCGAGGCAACCTCGAACGCAATGGATCTCTCCCAGACGTTCACGGCGTTGTCCATGGGCTCACACCATGCAGTGGACGATGATGGCCAGAGCGCAACGAGACCAACAATAACAACGAACACCGCCACAAACGACAGCGACAACAGCAACAGCCTTCATGGCAGTGGTCACGGCGTGGACACGACACGCGCGTGGTTGTCGCGCGCACCGCGTGATGATGTGGAGGCCTATGTGGCGCAGCTGCACCAACAGCTACAGGATGCCAACACGTCGCTGGCGCTGGCCCAAACAATGGGGCGCCCAACCTGCAGCACGTGCGAGCGGCAATACGGCGCAGACAACACGCCGTTCCTCATCCAGTGCCAGACGTGTCTGAACGAGACCGGACTTGGCGAGATCGCCACACCACACGGCCGCCACACATCCACCCGCCAGCACAGCTACGACAGCCACGACTCCCACCACCACCACCACCACCACCACGATCACCAACAGCAGCTACACTCGCGTGCTCAGAGCCGTGAGCACCAGCAGCACCACCAGCACCAGCGCGGGGAGGGCGCGCATACATTTCAGCACCGTGGTGAGCCCGTGCTCCCGTCCGTGTGGCGTGGTGGCGTGGACGACAGCGGGTTTGTGGACGCCGGCACTGGTGACAGCGCTGCTGTTCCGCGTGGCGTTGCTCCTCCTCTTCCTCCACCTCCTCGTGCGACTGCTGCTGATGATAATGGTGATGATGGTGAAGGTGTTGGTGCTTCTGTCGAGGATGAGCCGGCGGTTCGCGATGGCCGCCAGCGCCCGGCAACAACACCGCCCCGCATGCGCTCACGCTCGCGCACGACCTCCCATCGTCGGGACACGTGTGCAATCCACCCCTTACCGACCACCACCAGCAGCAGCAGCAGCAGCAGTAGCAGTCGTGGTACTGCCTACGGCGACGTTGGTGGCGGTGGCAGCAAGCAGCGAGGTGGCGCAAGCGTCCACCCGGACATGATCGTGGGCTGCGTGGTGCCGGATGCAGAGTTTATCAAGGCGGTCAAGAACGGCGTGGAGGACAGCGGTGACATGGTGCACCCGGACAATCTGTGCTGCCCCATCACCTTTGACCTGTTTGTGGACCCCGTTGTTGCCAGTGATGGCATCACGTACGAGCGAGCGGCCATCGAGGCGTGGCTGCAAGACAACCGCATGTCGCCCCTCACGCGCTGTCCCATGAGCCGCAACCTCTTCCCAAACGTGCTTGTGCGCAAGCTTGTCGGCGAGTACCGCGAGGCATTTGGCATACCGCCACCGACACCGCCCGCGCAGCACGCGGCGACAGACCTCGGCGACCTTGGCGATGGCGGGCGTGCTGCCAACGCCAACAACAGCGGCCGTGATGACGCCGATGGTGACGAGCCACAGTACGCGGAGATGCTCGGGCTTTCCACAGGCGGCAGCGGCGGTGTGCACGGCGACTCGCGATCGCTGCAGCAGCTGATGGATCTCCTCTTCACCATTCAGCGCAGCGCCAACACGGGCACGGGGAGCGACACCTCGTCCGACCTTGGCCACCGCGGGGGCGAGGACGACGGCATGGGCGCGTGGGGCCAACAGGAGCAGCCGTCACGGCGTCGTATTCGCCACGCCTCTCGCCTCCGCCGCCGCTTCTCATCGCGTGTGGAGGGCGCGCAGTGCACCATCTCCTGAGTTGGCGATGGTGATGCGTGTGTGTGTGTGTGTGTGTGTGTGTGTGTGTGTGTGTGTGTGTGTGTGTGTGTGTGTGTGTGTGTGTGTGTGTGTGTGTGTGTGTGTGTGTGTGTGTTACATTATCGTATTAATCGTGAAGCACCCTGTCGTTGATTTTTAACCCATTTCTTTCTTGCTGTTTGGTTTGTTGTTACATTATCGCACGCCTGGCTGGCATGATGTTTAACTGATGCTTGTTTGTCCACAGTGCCTCGTTGTGTCATATGCCTTCTCTGTTTTCTTTCCTTCTTTCTTTCTTTTCTTTCTTTTTGTAACTTCTGGACTGCCTTTGACCTGCTTGCTTGCTTGCTTGTTCCTTGCTTCCTTTCCGTACTCGCCCCTGCCCCCACCCGTCCGAAAGAGGGCATCTGCTTTTCATTCCTAAGGAATAATGAATGACAGTGATGATTGTTTTGATGATATGATGTGACCTTCTTGTTTTTTTTTTTTTTTTTTTTTTTTTGCAGTACCGTGCGAGCAAGCAGTAAACGACACATTCGTATCAACAGCAGCAATAACCGGCATGCGGAGATCCCACAGCCGTGAGCCAGGCGGCTTTTCTGTTCGTAAGACCATCATCATCATCATGAACAACGCAATGCACAAAAAGTCGGGGGTGTGGGTGTGTGGAGGGGGGAGGGGGTGCAAGGAGGAACGTCAGCACACGTTCACAGCAACGTCAACACACGTTCACAGCCAGGTTCTCCTGCTCGCCGGCTTGTTGCCGCTTCAACATTGCAACTTCCTTGGACAGCTCATTCAGGCGCTGGAATACGTGAGCAATGTTGATGATCATATGCAATCGTGAGGTGGTGCAAAGCAAACCAAGTGGGTGCGCATGGATTCATGTGGGACCGAAGGAAAGTTCACAGTCACTGCACACACACACACTCTCTCTCTCATTCACTCACTCACTCACTGCACACACACACTCTCTCACTCTCTCATTCACTCACTCACTCGCTCACTCACTCACTGCACACACACACACAACGGACCATGCGCAGCTCGTTGTTCTCGGCGCGGATCTTGGCCATGTGCTTGAGCTTCTGGCGCGGGTTCTGGTGTCCAACAAGACCGTCTCTCTCTTCCTCAAGCGCTTTGACTGCTTTCTTCAGCTGCGAATTTTCCTTGCGCAGGGTGAGGTTCTCCTTGCGCGCGCGATCAAGGCTCTCCTTCATGCCAAGCAGGTCCTTGTTCAGCTCCTGCGCACACACAAGCGACTCGGCAAGCTCAGACGCTTGCTCCTGTCACACACATACATGAAGGCCAAGACGTGAGTGGGATATGGCAGCACAGCAGAACACCGTCGGCCGCCACCAACACAGCTCATGTACTCGTGGACATTGTTGGTATTGTGGTGAACGACCAAACTTTGCTTGCATGGACTCATCAAGAAGCACACACACACACACTGACACACACTGACACACACGCACACACACACACACACACACTGACACACACGCGCACACACACACACACACACACTGACACGCACACACGCACACACACAAGGCGAGCGCATGTTTACCTTCACTTCGTCCTCCAGACGACGGCGATGGCTCTCCTTCATCGTCAGCTGCGACTTCACCTCCTCCAGCTCCTTCACCGCACGCGTGTGGTCCTCAGTCGTACGCTGCGCAGCGCGAACACTCGCTTCCAACCGCCTGTTCTCGGCCCGCGTCTCCTCGAGCTCCTCCACCATGCTGGCAGACTCGCTGGCGGTGCGCTTGGCGGCGTCAAGGTCGGCCCGCAGCTGCGACAGCTCGCTGTTCTTCTCCACGCGCGACGCCTCCGCGGCATCAAGCATCTCCAGATACTTCTTCTGCAAGCAGTTGAACACGTCATGGGTGAGGCGCGGAGAGACGGAACCGAAGACACAGACAGGGAGAAGATTGGGTGTCGCGTATGGACCCACGTGACTTGCACGCACCAATTATGTGTATTCTCATCCACACAAGCACACAGACTGACAACACTGAAACGCACACACAAACACACAAACACAAACACACACATACACACGCTTGCACGCACCTCTTGTGTCTTGCTGGCTGCAAGTTGCTGCTGCAGCGACTGCACTTCCTGCTCGAGCGCCGTTGCATTCTCACGCGGCGCCTCCAATTGCTGCCAGAGACCACCAACCAATCATACAGAACCATGGAACCATGGGCAACGTGAGCCCTTTGTTCAATCATTGTTAAACATAAGGACATGTGATGTGGAAAGTGGGTCACTCGCTTCTTTTCAGACACAACAGTCACGCCCAAAGCGAAACACCCAAACTCTCACACAAGCACTCTCGCGCAACCCATAACAAACCACACCGCACAGCCACAAGTGCACACCTGACGAAGGTCGGTGTTTGCTGCCTTGAGCTCATCGAGCGACTGCTCGAGCTGTGCAATGCGCTGGGCAGCGTCGTCCTCCTTCGCTGCCAGTACATCGCGTGCGCTCTGCAGTTGCGTCTCCAACTCCTGCACGCGCGCCTTTGATGCACGCAGTTCGTCCTTCACAAGCGTCGTTGTCTCCACAACCTCCGCCATCTGGTCTTTGTACTCGTCCTCATTCTTCGCAATCACGCTCTCCGTGTGCTTCAGCAGCCGCTGCATAGGAACACGTGCACCACATGCGCAATTCACGAGGACAGAAGCCATGATGAGCATACTCGTTGCAGAGCTGTGCAGCCACGAACCACCGTGGCGGCAAGTTCAGCACAGCTGTCCCATGCGCTCACCAGCCGTGCTCCAAAGTTGGGCAATTTCTCACATGCGCAGGCACACAAGTTTACGAGCACACACACACACACACATACACACATACACGCACACGCACATTCAACATACTACAAGCCCACCTGGAATTCGGCCTGCTTGTCTGTGGCGAAGCCAAGCTCTGCTGTCAGGCGGTCCACCTCCTCCTTGCACTCCTTCAGCTCAGCAGTGAGCGACTCGTTGCTAGACTTGAGTTCCTGCGTACACGTGATCCACAGCGTGCAGCCGTCTGGTATGAGATGCGAGGGACGCCGCAGACTCGTGTGCATGTGCTCTTAAAACAGGCACATGCCCACACAAGAACGCAATCACCAAACTCACACAATTACAAAACACACACACACACGCATACACAGAGCACAAGACACACGCATACACACACACACAGAGCACAAGGCACACACAACACAACGCAACACACCACAGCCCTTTATGTTCTGTGAAGCCACTGGTACCTTGAGTTGGTCAGTGGTTGTGCGCAGTTCGGCCACGATAGCCGCCTTCTCCTCAGCCATCCGAGCCTCCTTGCGTGCAAACCGGTCCTTGGCCTCGTTGAGCTCCTCACGGGTCGACTCCAGCGTGTCCTGCGCTTCAATCTGTGCCGCAACAGACGCCTCAATTTGCTCAACCAGCTCCTGGTTCTTCTGCGACAGCTCCAGCATCTCTGACTTTTGGTCACTGCGTGCGGCAGTTGTTGTCATCGCGAGTGTTGACGAGATTGCATGGGTGAGGCAGCCCGTCAGCGAAGGAGTGCTGTTTGTGTGCATGTGGGATGATTGGTTCTGCATGCAGCAGCACACCTGTGCACACACGCAGCAGCTAGCAGCCAGATGAAAAACATGCCATGTGGCACACACGCGTTGTCCATGCTGCACACTGGCCATGTGTCTTACCTGTCGTCGTTGAGCTGCTGCTCATATTTGGCAACGGAGTCCTCCAGCTTGGCAATCGTCGCCTGCAGCGCTTCCTGTTCATGTGTCAGCGATGATGTCTTGGCCTTCTCATCACTCAGCTCCTGCACAAATCACACACGCGTACGATACAGTGTCAGCGTGTGACGGCCAAAGTTGCACTCACATACACGCGTTGCATGCATCTCGCATGTAGCACTCGCCAGCGTACAGTCACGATTGTGCAAACGGAATTGCAACCACACCAATATTGATCAACAAACACACACACACAGAAATACACGCATGTGCAAGTGCATGCGCACCTGCGTAATGCGATCGAGCTCCTCTTGAACGAACTGAAGTTCGCCGTCAAGTGTGTCCCGCTCATCCTGTGATTGGTTTTGGTATTGGTCGCGTGCGTATGTGTGTGTGTATGCATAGCGTGAGTGAATGCTGATACGAGGGCTTCACGCACGAACGCAGCCGTGAAGAAACACCACTGGAACACAACCAACAGAGACTCAGACACCCATCAGCACACACGCACACGCACACATACACACATTCACACGCCCGGGTACACAGCCTTCCGATACCATGAGGTCTTGGTTGCTGGTGAGTGCAGCCTCGAGGTCGTGGCGAATGCTGACGAGCTGGCCAGCCTGGTCCGTGTTCTCCTTATCCAGCTCAGCCACCTTGCGCTGCGACTGGGCCAGCTCCTTTTGCATGGCCTGAGATCACAAACACAGGTGCGTAGGGAAGGGAAGGGAAGGGAAGGGAGTTTGGTTGTGAGTTCGCATGTGTGTGTGTGTGGATGGGTAGTGGCAGTTCGAGTGATTGCGAGCAAGCATTGCGACGATTGAGAGTGTGTTCGACGAAGGCGGCGCGAGGGTTTCCCAGGTAATAAAAACATGTTGTTGCAGCACTGCAAAACAGTACACCACTGAACAAACATGCGCGCACACCGGACCTCCTTCTCGGTTGTGAGCGCTGCAGCAGCGGCCTGCTGTTCCTGGAGAGAGGTCTGGAATTCCGTCGCCTTGTCTTGCATCTCCGATAGTAGACCATCCAGCCGCTGCTCGAGGGTGGCAATGGTGCTCTTCAGCTCCTCAGACGTCTCCGCGTGAGCAGTCTGTGTTGAACATTCAAACAGCAGAAACACACCATGCGTGGAGGAGGAGCAATTCGTGAATCAACAATGATGACATAATAACACACAGGTGCCCGAACAACTCTATTGAGAATACACAAATGCTACGCTCAATTGCGAGACGGAAGTACCCGATCCGCACCCACAACAGAAGTGTACAAACGCGCCGACACGAACACGGCGTAGACATACAGGCATGGGAGCAAAACTACAACTCACAAACACATGGTCAACCCACCCCTCACACATACACACACACGCGCGCGCACGCACACACAAAACAAACTACCTGCTCCATGGAGAGCTGGGAGGTGAGCTGCTCCTTGTCTTGGCGCAGCTGCCGGCTGGCACTCTCGAGAGAAGAAATCTGCTGAGTCAGCTCTTCCTGCACGGCCTGGCTGGACTTGACCTCGTGCACCAGAGCCTCCATCTTGCTGCGGAGGGAGGCAAGGTCGTTGATCTGCAGCGCACGCGCAAAGCCGGCAGTGGTGCATGACGTGAGGCATGGAAGTGTTTGGCACAATACACGCGCAGACTCTCAGTGAAACACGTGCACAGTCAGCGGGCACACGCACAAACACACGCACGCACACACACACACACACGCACGCACACACACACACACACACACACACATACACACACACACGCACACAGAGCAGCAGCAGCAGGGTTGCAGGCAAAGCTGACCTGTTCCGAGTCGGCAAAAGCCTTTGAGAGCTCCTGCAGCTGTTCATCGCGGGCCTGCGCCTCACGGGCAGCCGCCTTCATGCGCTCGGCCTCAAGCGCGCGCTCAAGCTCAGCTGTCGTCTTCTCTGCCGCACGCTTCGATGACGCAAGCTCCATCACCTTGCGTTGCGCATTCTCCTCAACCTAAAGGCGCACGCGTGCGCATGTGCGTGTGTGTGTTCAAGTGGGGAGGAAGGACGCAGAGAAAGCGAACATTGCGAAGGCGGTAAGTTGACAATTGATGTTGCAGATACATCCACAAAACTCACCACAGAGTGAACAGGCAAACCTGCTTGCATTGTGGTGAACGAGCTGTGCCAAATCAAAGGCATCAACAATTCCACACGCACACGCACACGCACACACGCACGCACACGTGTCTATGCACGATGCCGGTGCAGCATGCAATCGCTCAAGCGTGTGTCTGTGCATGTGTGTGCATGTGTGTGCATGTGTCACATGATCACCATTGGCATTGAACCTGGGTGAGCTGGTCGCGTGTTTCCTTCAGCTCCTGCTGCAGATCCGAGACTTGCTGCTTCAGTTCGCTCTCCACCTTGGTCTGGCGCGCAAGGTGCTTACCATCGCGCATACGTGGCGATATGCCCGGTGCAGGCGATGCATTGGCGCTCGAAATCAGTTGGCCTGAAGGACGCGAAGCAACCATGCATGTCGAGTAGGAAGAAGGAATGGCATGAATAAACAAAGACATGAAGGAAAAGGCGGGGATTGTGCTTGGGCACACACACACACACACACACACACACACACACACACACACACACACACACACACACACACACACACACACACACACACGGACACACACGGACACACGGACACGCATACACACACGCAAAATCCCATTGCAAAGCGTAACCTTACACACATGTCACACGCACCGAGAGAAGCCGAGTCCTTGTTGTTGACGAGAAGGCGCTGCACAATCTCCTCCAGCTCCAGCATGCGCGTGCGCGTCTGCGCCAGGACGGCGTTGTCGTCATCGACCGGATATTGGGACCGCAGCGACCGCAGCTCAGCCTGAAGCGCCTTGTTCTTCGTCAGCAAGCGGGCTGCGTCGACGTTGACCTTAATCTCCTGCTCCAGCGCCTTGATCTCCTTGCGAAGGGCAGCCAGTTGCTCGTCTTCGTCCACAGATGCGCCCGCCCCGCGCTTCAGCTGCGACACCTCCGCCTCCCGAAACTTGTACCGCATCTTGAGTGCCTGCAGGGACCGCTGGTATGCGCTGAGCAGCTCCTGCGACTCCTGCAACCGCTCGGCAAGGTCCTCTTTCTCAGACTCGGAGCGCTTGTGCAGGTCGATCATGGTGCACACGATGCGGCGAAGGTCGCCATCATCGTCGCCGTCCGTCTGCACCCCGGGCGGCAGCGCAGGCAGGGCCTGCATGTTGGCTGATGGATGGATGGGTTGGTTGGTTGGTTGGTTGGTTGGTTGGTTGGTTGGTTGGTTGGTTGGTTGGTTAGTTTGCCAGTTGGTTGGTTGGGTGAATGAACAGGAATCAGTGACAACGCAACGCGTGCGAGGACAGCCACATGCACGCCTGCAATACAAGCAACTTACGTTGTGCGAGCAGGTCTCGAAGCCGCTTCACTTCCGCTTGCAGCTCCCGCACGTTGCCGACAAAGTCCTCGTTGCGCGCCGTCTTGTTCTTAATGAGCTTGGCGCGCTGAGCAAACTTGAGCGTAGACAGCGTCTCCCCAAACGCCCTGGCAGTTGTAGACGTACAGGCAAGGTAGCACAGCAATGGCACAAATCAGAGTTGGGGTAAGGAAACAGCACGCAAGCAAAATCACTCAAACACAGTGTGAGTGACGTGAATGGTTGTGTGTGGTTGTCAGTGTTAACTGGCACCTCTGTTAATGAATTAAAACAAAACTAGACGTGACAAACAAACGCGCTTGCGTCCTGCGCAACACTCAATAAACACACACGCACACACGTGTGCAGGAAGGCATTCGTTAATGCATCGCACTCACTTTCGGGAAGGGTTGACGGCGGCAAGCAGATAGGTCTTGGTGTTGCCACCAAGCGAGTCGCGGAGGAGAAAAGTGAGCTTGGAGTCGCGATACGGCACATGGCGCTGCTTGCCGTTGGCAATGGACACGAGGGCGGTGATGACGTTGCCCAGCGTCGACAGCGACTTGTTGATCTGCCCTGCCTCGCGCAGACGCGTGCCGTCCGCCTGTGTGTCGCGCTGCCGCTCGGAGCCGGCAAGATCAATCAGGTTCAGCCGCGCCATCTTCACGTTGCGCAGCCCATCCCCGGTGGACTCCTGAAGGCGCACAGCGTGTGGATGTGCATATGTGCGTGCGTGTGTGTGTGTGTGTGTGTGTGTGTGTGTGTGTGTGTGTTTTGGGGTGTGTGATTTGGACGAGAGAGATGTGTGAGCTGCATAGTGCGTGTGTGAGCAGTAGATGCTGCACTGCACAAGAACACAAAAGGTATCTTCATTCAGCTTGACACATCAAGTGTTACACAGATTGCACGGGCCATGCATGACAGCTACGTACGATGCTCTTGATGGTCATGGTGAAAATAGCGTGACTGCGGCTGCTCTCGCGGTTCATGGACGTCTCTGCGGTGCGCCGGTTGCCGTTGCCAGCGTTCAGCACCTGGCACACATGGCAAGCACAACGAATGAGACGCGGGGCTGTGGCACATTGTATGTTGTGGTGGCGTCTCTTGCTTGCAGCAAAAGCGGCTCAGCTTAGAATTGCCCCATCAGCGTAAAGCAAACGGACAGCATGTGCGCACGGATACAGTGGGCGTTGTGCGGCAATGCAAGTGCATGGATACCTCATGAACTCTCACGTTCACACACCTACACTCTCACTGCAAAAGCACACACACACACACTGACACACACATGCAAACGCACACACAGACACACAGACACGCACCTCCATGGCTTCGCGTGGCGACTCTACAATGTGCTCTGTGACGTCTTCGATGTGCACACCGTTGCGCACATCCTCACGAAGATTCTTGCCCGTGCACGTGGCGTCAAGAAGGTCGTAGATGCGCTCGTTGTAAATCTCGGTGAAGGAGCAGCTGCAACTGAAGGACACATTGCCCTTCTGTATTCACAACACATACGCAAGTGTGCAACAAGATGGGGAGGGTCGATAGATGAACATTTTGTGGGTGTACGCATGAATATGAATGAGGGTGTGAGCTTGTATGAATGAGTGTGTGAGCATGTGTGAGCATGTGTGAATGAGTGTGAGTGTTTGAATGAGTGTGAGTGTGCAGTCTAAGTGTGACTGAGAAAGGCGTGTGGGCGCGGTTGTGGTGCACATGAGGCCGACACAGCACAAGCAACAGGTAATGCGCAATTGCTACAGCGGTGCGCGCGGTTACCTTCTGGCACTCGCGCTGGATCTGGCTGAAGAGGAATTCAAAAGCGCGGGGGATGATGCCGCGTTCCTCCTGCACAATGTCGTCGTTGTCGTCCTTTCTTCCCATCATGGTGAACGTTTTGCCACTCCCAGTTTGGCCGCTGCAGTGCAAGGGTTCAGATAACACAAGATGTTAACAGTGAGTTGGGGATGCATTCAGGGTGCGCAGCGACAACATTCTACGCCGCCATGCTACAAACAAGTGTCCATAAATGCTATGAAACGCAAGTACATTGACGCACAATAGTTAAGCACACACACACACACACACACGCACACACACATACAATATGCATGACAAGGACATTGTTTCGCCAGGTTTGTCCACTACGTACTATGCAAAGATGGTTCCATTGTAGCCTTCCAAGCAGGACTCAATCACTCGCTTGGCCACTGTCTCAAACACTTTGTCCTGCCCAATCCAATACCAAGGCATGCGCATGTGCGCGCGCACAGGTGAGCAGCGGGAAGGCACAGCATAATAGAGCCGCGCACAGTTGGACGCTTGCTTGCTGATTTGCTTGCTCTCAACATCTGAGACCCGCAACTGAACCACATCTCGAGAGAAAACAGCGTAACACGTTCAAGTAGCGCTGCACACCTGAGTGGATTCCTCCGTGAGGACCTCGTCGAAGGTGAAGATGTTCTTGTTGCTCTCCAGTTTCACGGCTTTCTCGTCCACATAGTTCAGGCACTTGATGGTGTCGTTGTCGTTCACGCCAGAGCCCACCAGAGGACGCACACGCAGGATGACCTGGATGTTTTCCTCCTCCCTGTCATTGATGCCGTACACACACACACACGCACGCACACGAAGGTGTGCAAATTTCCACACTCATGCCATGAGAGTACGCTCAAGTCGCACGTCTGTCTTGAATCAAACAGGCGTCCATGCACGCATCGCTCACCACCCACCACCCTACGCCACGAGACCTACTCACTTCTCGCACTCGGTTGCCATCTTCGCGGTGGGGATCAGAAACAAACTCCGCCCTTGTTGGTCGCTGTTTCTTTCAGACCCTTGGCTGTCGGTCGCCCGCGGCCTGCTTCACACGCTTGCGCTCGCTTCAGCAGTCCTGATGCTGAGATGCTGTGTGTTGGCTGTTGTGGTGGTGCTTGCTTGAATTCGCGGCAGCCGTTGCTTTGAAGATTTGGCGGCAGAGGATTTTGGGCGATTGTTGGAAGATACCGATAATAATCTGAGGCATTCGTTGGTCAGCCCCCTCGCCGCGAAAATTCAATTTTCCAGCAACCAGCACAAACAGCAGACACCACAGACCGCCACAACAGCGCGACTGTCACAAGCGACCACAGCAAACAAACAAGCAAGCAAGGACGTGTGCACGCGTGGTGCTGTGCTGAAGCATACAGATTGACGTGAGTGTGAGAGAGCGAGAGCGTGCGTGAATTGAGGGGGAGGCTTAGCTGGCTGATCTCGTTTGAAGGCAACCAAGCATCAACCAACACAGACGACAGCTTCCCATCAGCATCAACCAACTCGCAGCAAGAAAACGACTATGGCATACCGCGGAGCGCTGAGCCGCGTGAGCCTGAGCGAGGACAATGCACGTGCGGGGCGCAAGTCCATGGGTGGCCCCATCAAGAGGCAATCGCGTGGAGGGCGCAACAGCCTTGCACCCCAGAGCAAGCGCGAGAGCCTCGCCGGTCCCAAGGCCTCCTCTCGCAAGTCCATGGCAGGCCGGCCATCCACGGGCGGGCGGCCATCGACTGCAGGCCGCTACTCGATGGGTGGGCGCCAGAGCATGGGCGGCGCAAACAGCCGCCGCTCCAGCATGCACCGTCGACCAGAGCCCCGCCCTCTGAGCGACAAAGGATACAAGCAGCAGAGCATCAAGGAGCTGATGGAGTTCCTGGTGTACAACCAGTTCCCAAAGGCCATTTCCGAGCAGCGCCTCAAGGGGCCCTCCACGCGCGAGTTTGTGGAGATTTTCCAGTTTGTGTATGAGCGCTTGGATCCTTGCTTCCCCTGGGCCAAGCTCAAGGCCGAGGATGAGATTCCAACCTTGCTCAAGGCCATCGGCTACCCGTTCTCCGTCAAGCCCAGCCTCATCATCTCCTGCGGCAGCCCCCACAACTGGCCAAAGCTTCTCGGCGCCCTTCGCTGGATGATCGAGCTCACAGACGTACGTGCGTGTGGGTGTGTGGGTGTGTGGGTGTGTGGGTGTGTGTGTGTGTGTTTGGAAGTGAGTGATGTGGAGGAGGACAAAGTGATTGCTTCGTGCGTGTGCGTGTGCGTGTGCGTGTGCGTGTGTGTGCGTGCGTGTGCGTGCATGTGTGGATGTGCAGAAAGGAGGAGTTCCTTCGTTCTGATTTTGTGCGCAAGTACGTGAGATGACTGCCTTTGGACGTGCTTCTGCTATGATGATACCGCCACGCTCATTGCACTTCTGTCGCGTGCACACATTACCAACAGTTCTTGGAGGATCACAAGGACAACATTCTCCGCCTCCTCATCTCCCAAGCGCAGCTGCTGTCTGCTGACCGTGAGGGCGACTTCTTTGGCACCGCCGACAGCGAGGAAATGCTGGAGACACTGCAGTTTATCCTCGAAACAGCTGAGGTGAGTGTGGGGGGAATGCCACGTGTACTTCTGGGCACTAAATCAACAATGCACACCCATACACTCACACACGCATTCACACGCATTCACACGCACATGGGCTTGATTGCATTTCCCTCGCTCTCCACTCACACTCACCACCCCCACCACCCTCACACGGATGGCGTGAGCAGACCTTCCGGCAGCACGGCGAGGACGGGATGCTGCCATCGCTGGAGCCCGAGGCTGTGGAGGAGAAGCGCATGCAGGTGATTGAGGAGCGAGAGGCCCTCAAGGCAGAGAGCGAGCAGCTGCGCGCACAGCGCGATGAGCTTGAGTCTGCAAGCAGCAGGCTGCCCAAGCTGCGGCAGAAGAAGGCGGAGGTGGAGAGCGACTGCGAGCAGTTGACGCAGGAGCTTGCAAAGGGGCGGCAGAGCGAGGAACGGTACGACAAGCGCATCGCAGAGTTGCAACAGTTTCTGGAAGCGCGCAAGGAGGAGCTCGCAAACGTTCAAGCTCGCAAGAGGAAACTGCAGGTGCGTGCGCGCGCGCGCGTGTGTGTGTCTGTGTCTGTGTGTGGCGTGTGTTGTGAGGGGATGTCAGGTGTACACGAATGGTCTGAATTGTGTGTGTGTGTGTGTGCGTGCGCTGTTTGTGTCGTGCGTTATTTCGTTGTGTATTGTATGTGTTGTGTCTCCTCCCAAAGTACCTTCAGATGTCGTGGACGGCCATGCATGCTTCACAAACGTCTGTCCTTCCCCTCACCGACACACCTTCAACGCCCACCGCCTGTCTTGATGTACGTGTGTGCAGGAGACGTGTGATGCGCAAGACATGCAGCGAGAGCAGTTTGAGCAAGTGCAGACGGAGCTTGCGCGCCTGAAGACGGATTTGAAGAGCACACGCTTCCAGATTCGCCAGCGCAAGGACGACGTGAAGGCAAAGCAGGACGCTGTTGCACAGAAGGAGCAGCAACTGATTGAGCTGCTCAACGACTACAACCACCTCGTCTGCGAGCTTGGTGTAAGAGGACAGACACACCTACATACATTTGTCTTCTTGCGTGTATCCCGTGCATGTGTGGCTGTGTTGTGCTGCACTGTGCTGCTTGCCGTATTGCCCCCTCGGCCTGAATTGATTGATTGCACACTTCTCCATCCTCCCAATCATAATTCCCATACCTCATCGTCTGCCCCGTCTGTCATCTCGGTTAACTACCTCGCCCTCCGCTGTGCGTTCAGTTGACGTCTGCCAACGCCAACAACCCCGTCAGCCGCGACTGCCGCCTCCGCGTTCAGACTACAGCCGACTCTGTCGACGAAATTCTCTCAGGTGCGTGTGTGTGTGTATGTATGTTCGCATCGTGAATCTCAGGAGGTGTGCGCGCTTGTCCTCGTTGTTGGTGTCGCATGTCACAATTCTGCTCTCTACCCACGCAAGGAGTGCTCCCATACTCCCAGCCTCACATTCCATTCTCGGACGTTTTATTCCACAGCGAATGTGAAGCGCGACATTGCGCCCGCCATCCAGGAGTTCCGTGGCCAGGTGCAGCAAAGCCTGCAGCAGGCCGGGCTGGAGCAGCAGCACGTGGCGCGGCAGTTGGCGGAGGTGCAGCAGCAAATTGATGCGAAGCGGGAGGAAATTGGCAGCCTCGAACAGCGCATTCAGGCCACCATGAAGCACTGCTCCAACGAGGAAGAGGTGCGGATATGAATGGTGGCGTTGCGCGTGGTGTGTTTGAGTGATGATGGTATCAGCCGCGCCAGTTCCCTTGATGGTGTTGGCGATCTCTCTTGCTCGCCCTGCTCACACATACACGCACATATACATCACGCACGTGCACACGCTGACTCGCGTACACATCACACTCTCCTACACTACACATGCATTGGTACTGACAATCATGCTCACACGGACACACACACACACACGCACACACGCACACACGCACGCACACACACACACACGCACACACGCACGCACACGCACGCACACGCACGCACACGCACGCACAGCTGCTGAGGGAGGAACGCCAGCGCCACGAGTCGTCGCTCAAGTCGGAGCAGGGCGAAGCCAGCCGTCTGCGGGAAGAGGTGGACACCCTGCGGCATCAGAGCCAGGTGCAGCTTGAGCACGCCATGCGCCGATACCAGGAGCTCAAGGAGAGCTGTGCCCGTGAGGAAGAGCGCCTGAACAAGGTCATCTTCGAGGCCCTCACCGCCGTTGTGCACTACAAGGTATGGCAGCAAGACAGTGATGAAGGTGTTGCGGTGATAGTGTTGTACTGCTGTGGTTTCTGCAGGATGAACTCCATATGCACACGCGTGGAAAGAAGTGTCTGCTCCCGCTCACTCACCGAGTAATCTACAACTCTGTGTGTGTGTGTGCCTGCCTGCTGTGCAACAACTATCACATCCAGGAATACGTCACCAACGTGCTTGCCCAGATGCAAGCCCGGTACTGCCAATGATTGCGCCTCTTTTGGCAATTGATGTAGTCCATGCATGTTGTTGCTGCAGTCGTAGTTGGTGTTCTTCTTCTTCTTCTTCTTCTTGTTGCTTTGCAAGGGCCCAAGACATTGGTTCTCGCGTGATGATGATGGGTGATGAGTGATGATTGGTTGATGATGGTTTGGTCCCAGAAACACGATCCGGTGAGGCTGTTGCTATTCTTCTGTTGATGCTGTGTGTGCTTGCGCTTGTGTGTGTGTGTGTGTGTGTGTGTGTGTGTGTGTGTGTGTGTGTGTGTGTGTGTGTGTGTGTGTGTGTGTGTGTGTGTGTGTGTGTGTGTGTGTGTGTTGGAGGGTGGGTCCTCTTTTTTTTGGTTTCACGACACGTTGCTTGTTTGATCGATTGCATTGCTTGTACAGCACGTTGTTTCCTTTCTGCTGTTGTTTGTTCTGTGTGCACCTGCGCTGTTGTTGGTGGCTGCTTCTCTGCTACTGTGAGTGGCTTCGCCGTCCTTTTGTTCAACTTGTAATGACGTCCAATACATACAAGCAAGTCACGGTTCAGTAAGCGTTCAAAGTAAGCAAGAAGCAAGACGTGGGAGAGACGTCAAGGAAGATAGATAGCAGAAGGAACGAAGGCGTCTTTCCAATAAGTTGGCACGCGGCCAACGTTTGTACACAGCAAAGGGCACATGGAGTGTGGAGCACTAAGATCAGTGGGATATAATGCGATAAGAGTGGTGGCTTCAAGCCGTTCAGCAGGCACGCAAGCAGGGCAAGAGGACATGACATGCTCAACGGGCGCAGAGTGCGGTAGGGTGCAAAGTTGACGATGCCTTGGTGTTGTGAGGGAACATTGCATGTACAACATGTGTGGTTATGACAAGGGCATGTACAAGGGTGCAGATGCTCCGATGAAATGATAAAGCAGAGGCAGAGGGAGGTAGGGGAGAGAAGGGACGGCAGATCTGTCACGCACGCGCGCGTGTCATGCCAAACATGCTCTGCAGGGTTCGATGAACCGCTAAGCGCTGCCGTCCGTCGACCTTGCGCATGGCACCAAAGCTGAGCTCTGTGTAATGTGATGGGAGGAAGGAATGTGTGACATGTGGTTTGCAGCATAGAGCATTGAGTATGTGACGAGTCACAGCCCTGCAGCTGAGCAGGGGATCGTCGTACCTGTGTACTTGCGACGTTAACAAAGCACACGGCTGCGGGGACACACGCACACACACATACACACACACATACACACTCACTCACACACACACTCACTCACACACACACTCACTCACACACACACGCACATACGTGCACACGCATATGTACGTGCACACTCAGATATAGCAACGTCTGACGTACTTCGGCTTTTGGTTTCAAAGTGATAAAACTCGGGGATGACGGCCTGGCGCTCATCATCCCATGGCATGACCCACAGGAAACCAAACTTGTGCAGCCTCTCGTTTGAGACAACAACGTAGCGGTGATGAAGCCTGCCTTTCCCAGCTGCCTCCGTGTCAACGACAAGGCGCCAGCAGTGGTCTGTGGTGGATGTGTCGTGGAGCCGAGCGACCATCTTCCACGCCTCATCGCGAGCGGCTTGCAGCACAGACGCGCGCACGGGGGCTTTGGGACGCCAGCTTTGCAGGTCACCTGTACGGATGTGGATGACATCTGCAAAGCAATCCTTTGGCGCACCATCCTGCTCGCGTGTCACCGGTACGGAGGGCAGTGGCCTGCGCTTTCGGTTTTCGATGACGCTGGGCTTTGTGGTGGTGAGCATGATGCCGAGCACACGGCCAGTGCGCCGATCCTGCGAAAGCGGCAGGCAGTAGCGATAGCCGTCGCTGCGACGGTGGTCGCGCTTCTCATTTCCCACGGTGTTGTTGTGGAAGCCATCCCAGACAAACCTTCCAACGGCAGCTACACAGGACAAGCAAATGCAGCGCAACGCAACCCAGTCAAGCCCAACACGCAAACAGTCATAGCACAGGGCGCAGAGGAAAAGTGAGTTAGGGGCGAGGCGCCAAGGAGCAGGGGGGCAAGGTTCTAAGGTGGTTGAGCAGGAGTGGGCTGAACGCCATGGGTGCACGACTGTACCTTGTTGACCAGGCGATGTCATGGTGGTCGACGTCGATGTGACAATGACCAAGGGGAGTAGAGCGTACCAAATCAGTGGGAATGGGGAAGATGGGGTTGGTTGATTGTGTTAGGTCTCACTGCAAGTTGTCTTGCTTGCTGTTACTGTTGTTGCTGCTTGCTGTTGCTGCTTGCTGTTGCTGCTTGCTGCTGGTGCTTGCTGTTGCTGTTGCTGTTGCTGTTGCTGCTTGCTGCTGGTGGTGGTGGTGCTGCTGTTGGTGGTGTTGCTTGTGCATGTCAGACAAACGAGACGTAAATAACGTTCACGCTTGCTTTTGGCGGGAACATGCACAAACAAGTGCACACAACATTTGGCGCGAGCATGTCTATGTCATCAAGACAAGGCGGTCGAATCGTCTGCCCGCTGAGACAAAACTTCCCGAGCTTCGCCACAGTTTTTGGAACACCCAGTTCCCGCACTACTGCCGAACGTAACGTGAGATGTGACTGCTTGCTTGCTTCTGCGCGCGCGCGTGTGTGTTTGTTTGTGTGTGTGCGTGGTTTATTGGGGAAAACTCGCTGAAATCTTACACTGTTCCCGGCGCTCAAAGGTGTGTACTTTGTTTGCGTTTCATTTGCTTGCTTGTTCGGGGTCGGTGGGCCTCATCAGTGACATGAATGAGCTCCATTACTTCGTCCCAGCGCAGAGCCACAGCACGCGAGACATGACTGCTCCTAACACATACCGCACGCGACAATTCTTTTGCACCCGCAATTGGCAAACCATCCATGTGCGTGTGTGTGTGTGTGTGTGTGTGTGTGTGTGTGTGTGTGTGTGTGTGTGTGTGTGTGTGTGTGTGTGTGTGTGTGTGTGTGTGTGTGTGTGTGTGTGTGTGTGTGTGTGTGGCAGTTTGGAGTGTGTTACAGCAACGTACAGTAATATCAATGATCTTTATCGAGAGAAGAGACAGACAAAACACAATGTACAACGCAGCAGCCATGAAGGCACAAGCACACAAGCACAGACACAGATGCACACCTAGGTACAGGGTGGACGGTGAGGGCCACCCATGGCAGAATCGAGGATGTTCAAGGCACACACTGCAGGCTTACAGGAGATCATTTCCTGGCTTGGGCTCCATGCTCTTTGGAACCAGTTTGATGTCATCAATGTCGCCAAACACGGGGTCAAAGTCGCCCTCGCAGAGCGTGCGCAGGTTGTAGAAGAAGGCGCGCTTCTGCTGAGCAGAGATGAACGGGTTGTTGCCGAGCGCCGTTGCACACAGCTGCGCAAAGTACTTGACGTTGGGTGCCGCCCCTTCAAACTGCTCCATCTCCTTGCTGAAGTCCGTGTGCTGGCGCATGCGCTCCTCAATCGGCAGCGCCGACAAGTCCATGCCCTATCCGGGTGTGAGTGTGTATGTGTGAGTGAGTGAGTGAGTGTGTGTGAGTGAGTGAGTGAGTGAGTGAGTGAGTGAGTGTGTGTGTGTGAGTGAGTGAGTGAGTGAGTGTGTGTGTGTGAGTGAGTGAGTGAGTGAGTGAGTGAGTGAGTGAGTGAGTGAGTGTGTGGGTGTGTGT